GATAGATGAAAACAAGACAAAGATTGCCAAATCCGGTGCCTTGGTACCCTTAACCAGATTAGCAAAGTCGAAAGACATGCGAGTACAGAGAAACGCCACTGGAGCTCTCCTGAACATGACACATTCAGGTACGTGTCGTAGTTGTCCACTGCGATCTTCCGGGAAACAGTTGACTGAATCATGCCAATCAGACGAGAATCGACACCAGCTCGTACATGCCGGCGCCATCCCCGTCCTTGTTAGCTTGCTCAATTCCCCTGATACCGACGTTCAGTATTACTGTACAACGGCATTGTCAAACATTGCAGTTGACGGTAAGCATTACCCGATCAAAAGCTTAGGAAACTGAGTCTGAACATATCCACTTCCGCCTTGTCCGGATCCCAGCTGCAAACAGGAAAAAACTCGCTCAAACGGAACCTAAGCTCGTACAGTCGCTGGTAGCTCTTATGGAAAGTCGCAGTCTCAAGGTTCAGTGTCAAGCCGCTCTCGCTTTAAGGAATCTCGCCAGCGATGGTAAGTGCCTTTGGACAGATGGCGATCATCTTCGGCTGGCTGACCTTTCGTTGGCATATGCAGAGAAATATCAACTTGAAATCGTCAAAGCAGATGGCCTTACACCGTTACTCCGTCTCCTACATTCGTCATATCTTCCTCTCATTTTGTCGGCTGCTGCATGTGTCCGGAACGTCTCCATTCATCCTGCAAATGAATCTCCGATCATCGACTCCGGCTTCTTGCAGCCGCTAATTGAACTCTTGTCATTCGATGAGAATGAAGAGGTTCAGTGCCACGCAATCAGCACACTCCGAAATCTCGCAGCGAGTAGTGAACGAAACAAAACAGCCATCGTAGAAGCAGGCGCCGTCGAGCGAATTAAGCAGTTGGTGCTTACTGCACCGCTCGTAGTTCAGAGTGAAATGACGGCGTGTGTGGCTGTTTTAGCTCTTAGTGGTAAGCCGGCAGTACCATGCACAGCTTTGTCTCGCTCCTGATCCCGATCGACCTTTCCTGTGGTAGACGATCTCAAACCTCAGTTACTGGAAATGGGTATATGCGAAGTTCTGATCCCCTTGACCAATTCACCAAGTGTCGAGGTGCAAGGTAACAGTGCTGCTGCTCTTGGTAACCTTTCGTCAAAAGGTGGGTGACCGACATATCTTTTAATGAGTTTTCTGATTTACATGTCTTGTATTACTCTCCCAGCGGCTGAAGACTATGCGCCGTTCAACGCTGTTTGGAATCAACCTGATGGCGGTCTTCACACATATCTCGTTCGATTCCTCGGTAGCCCTGATCAGACCTTCCAGCATATCGCCGTCTGGGTAAGTGACGTCATCGCCTTCGAGCCTTCACTTTACTGAGCTTGTGGCTTCCTGAATATAGACAATTGTGCAACTGTTGGAGGCAGAAGACGAAACCTTGACGAACAACATTCGATCGTCACCTATATTACTTTCTCTGATCAAGCAATTGGCAGCAGCAGGCCCGGGATCACAAGACGGAAGCCCCCGCCATGGCTCGATCTCGGATGAAGATGATGGAGGCTCCACAGGCGAGAGCGGTGCAAGCGAGATTGCGGCTTTAGCGAGGAGAATTTTGGATCTGACGGATGGTGGCAGTGTTACGGAAGGTCTAGCAAATGGTCGATCTGGTAAGAAAATTGCACCTTTATACCCTTTGAAATGCCAAGTTGACGAGTGCTAATGTCGTTCTATCGCGCGACAGAGGACTCATAGGTCTCACGGTAGACCTTGCAGCATATCTAAGCTTTCCACTCATGACTAGGAGCGATAGCAAACCAGGTTCAGATTCCTGTCGATTGCTCGGCTGACCGTTTCCAGGCTTCCACAACTTTGAGATGCAGAACAATATTTATTCGCATATGGTGTATTTTCTCGACACGACCTGATTACCGTAATATGGAACCTATGAATCTTAACGACATGCTGGGATACCGATTCAGCGGGTACAGACCGGCTTTGCAGAAAAGCAGCTGTTGTCGCTTTGACCCAGTGCTTTTTCTGGGTTGTTGCCATCGCTTGACAGTGACCATCCGTGAGCTCGGCAGATGAGACATAAGAATGTGATGACCATGGCTCTAGTACCAAAATATACGATTTACAACTACTTTTTGGTTCGAGAGAAGCTAAACCTGAACAGCTACCTCAGCTCGACGAGTTAGGATTTGCTGTGAGGAAAGGCATTTCGAAACGTTTGCAAGGCTTCCAAGCAGCTATGACCATGCAAAAAGTCGCTTTTGGCTCATACAGATGCTGTTCCTTCCTACCCGGCAGCCGATGAACTCAACGCGTGGTGAGGAGTCGTGGTCATGAGGAAGTATAGCATGACATCTTGATATGATACATTGTTACAGGCCGATATCGCGCAGAAGTACAGGTTGATTGCGCATTCCTTGTAGCAGTCTTCGGGACACTGCTCGCCACCCTGCTTGGCTACCTAGAACCCGACCAGCGCGTGCCGTTCAGCTCAAGTGACGATCCCGAATATGTCTTCGAATCAACTTTGGAGGAGCGCTTGCGGAACTCAAAACGGATTTCTGACATTCAACGTACTGCCAACACCGAACATGGAAGGCGGGAGTCAACACTTTATCTATAACATTGTGGAAAGCATCAAAGCGGAGAGAGACTCACGTCGACGCCACATTGGTCATATGCAATAGGGTCAGATGCAACAGGCGCACGACAATTTGCCTGGTTTGCGACAACACGATCAGCCTCTATTATTCCTAAGCAAGGACGCAATAGACTTACTAGAGTCTTATCACAGGCCTCCAATGACGATCCAGTGGTATCACTGACAGGAGTCACAACGGAGGGATTAGTGACCGATGGTGCAGGCGCGGGTGAACCGGTTGCAACAGTCTCGTTGGCTACAGGTAAGTTCAACGACGGGACGTCTTTCGATGATTTATCAGAGGGAATAACCGGTACAGCATATGGAAGGGGGTTCTCGCCAGATGGCGTTTCAGGCACTCTTCCGCCCAAGTCTTGCGCTCCGTTCCCGCCACTCCATGCAGTCACAGAATCCGAACCCTTGTACACAGGAACGCCAGGTACCCTGAACACCGAGCGGTCGTAAAGGTTCGGGCGATCGATTTTACGCTTGTATTCGGTTGCATCGTTATCCTTCAAATACATGTCAGGTATTTTCCTGGGGGGATGGACAAGTGTAAGTAACCTGAAACGGAATATCCGTTTCGTCGTACTTACATCTTGGGTGATGGATCAGTATTTCCATCGCTCTCCAGGTCGATTTGCCAGGCACTAACGTAATATTGAGGTCCTTCCAACGAGTGAATTGCTATCAGGGTCTGACTGAGCATATACTCCCCACCAGGCAGATTCGTTGGTAATGTAAACTCTCGAACGATCCCAGTAGTCGCTCCATCGATTTCTAAAGACCACTTTTCCTTCTTGGGATCCCAAGTTTCCTGTGAAATTTTGAACCAATCCAAGTCCGCACCTTTCTTCCCCATGCAGGAACCCTCGCAGCTTGCCATCATATTGAGTACCACGCCGACATGTCCGGTCTATTGTAAGTCGAGCTCAGTGTGGTCTCTACCGTCCTCCGTTGTCAGCCGAACGTACCGGCCAGTTCAACCAGTGAGCCTGTCAAACATTGTCAGCTTCTCTTCGTTACCGCACAACTCCTGGCTCTTACCTTGACTTTATCTCCCGCTTTCGCAGCGACAGTGATCTGCTCTATGTTTGGCGAGTCAAATCCCTTATCGGGCCCTCCTACAGCCAAATCCTTGTCGAGACGCTCATGAGGCTGATTGACCCACCCTGTCCAGGACACGTTATTACTTTGTAAGTTCTCTTACGGACGATAGAGACAACACTCACGTTCGTCCATACGGACGGTGTTCCTCTGAGGTGTCTGGCAAGACGCTCCGTGTAGGTCATTATAGTGCGGTCCCATGCATGTCGTGTGTTCCGTCTGAGATCATGATGTCAGGTTTAAGACTTCCCTACAGTGTACACAGGTCAAAACGGGCAGACTCCACTTACACTGCCAATTGTAACCTTGTCACAGTAACCGTGTCCTTTAACCAGAAGGCTACCGTAAACAACACCAGAGACGAGAAGAGAAGGGATAGTCCCGTGTACCCGCATGTTGAAACTTGGGGTTTGAGTAAACCTGAAGTCGATGCGTTGTTTGTAAGGCTTCCAGGAAGCTCGAGTGTATTTGCGTCAGTAAGAAGCGAGGTTAGCTGCCAGGCTCTGATGTCTTTTCGTTCCAGTTGGTAGAATATCGCCTATGTGATCAACACTAGTAGCGACTAAACTGCTGAACCCTTCGCAATGAGCGGGGAACGGATCGACAGCCTTGGCCATGGGCGTGCTTATATAGCTGTCTAAGGGATAGTCGGTGTATCACTTCATGAAGAGGAGATCCTATCTTCCGTTTCAGTCTCGTCCCGTCAAGGGAGGTCATCGAAGGGAGGCTCACCTTGACTGCTCCTGAAAGTGTTAGGTAGAGAGGTTTTCTGTGTCAGTCTCTAAAGGAGGATCGTATCTCTGTTGTATCCTCACCCCGTCAAGATTTATCCTTAAAGGAAGGTCTGACTCGGCGCTTCAAGGGGAGACGTTAACATGGAGGAAAAGCGAAAGCTTTGACACAACGACTTTCCCTTTCTGCGCCGCCGGTTGAATTGGCCAGAATGAGCGGACACAGCTGTGTAGATACGAGTATTTGGTATTCGTATGTGATGACTTTCCAGCGGGATCTTCTTATTTAGCTCTCCAGATGCAGAAGCGAAGCTGATGAAAGCATTCCCTGCTTGGGTATATCGTACCTTATGCGACGTTGACAGGGTTGCTTTCGACATGACAACGGTAACCCATCGCATCGCAGCTATCCCGCCAAATATTCGGCGTTGCATATGACAAAGAACTCGAGCGCACCCTCGTCGATGCGCAATGCGTGAGAGACTGATGAGAAGAGGAAAGGCACTCCGGACAAAAAAGTCTTGGAGAAACAGGGGATTGAACCCTGGTCCTTCGAGATGTTGCTGAACGTCTATGACAGAATGCAAACTCGACGCGCTACCACTGCGCCATTTCCCCTATGAATATTGCTTCTTTGCCTTATACAAACATAATCTGAGACATGCCAATAAATTCGAAAGCGCTTGCCTGAGCTCTTTTGAATGATGCTCACGTCAGAGCCACTTGGCGAAACTTGCGCATTCCAAAGCCACACACGGTTCCAATAGTCAACGGGAGGGTCGCGAACGGCTTGCGCCTATATGTGAGCAGGGATAGCATCCGTCAATCCGAGCCGCAGCACGAGTTGCCTGGAGATAGCTCGTATATCGTTTAGATGAAGGAAGCATAGTGTGCCGAAAGATCAACTGTGGTCTAGCAGGTGTCCGTAGTGGGAAGAATGTTGACCTTGTCTCCGATTCAGATCTGTATATCTTCATGTCTCGAGGAGTTGGCGCCATCGCATAAGCAACGGAATGCCAGGCGATTGTAAGCATGGCTAAGAAGCTGAATGACGGATACCACCACTTTTCCCCAACTTCATTGTGATGTAGTATGACGGTAGACTGGCGCAAGCCCCCCCTCTGATCCCCCGTACAGCATCAAATAAGGCAGCAGCACCACCATCTTCCGCTTGGTTCCGCCTGTGATGTCGGGTGCATCTGGCTCGGTATGTTCAACTGTGGCGGCGCTGGGTGTTCTAGACCGGCGGTATGATGAGCTTGATGAACGAGGAAATGAGTTTGTGTGCGTGATGTGTGAGTCGCAACTCTACGTGAGAGGGAATGTGAGCACGGTTCACTCAGAAAGGGAGGGATGGACAGGGATGGCTTACTCCTCGTTATCGTGCGTGTGAGGGAACTTTGTGGTCGTGGTCGTGGTAGTCGTTATCGAAGGATACGTTTGTCCGACTGACCAATAAGGAAGCCATGCTGATTCTTGGCCTGCTGATTGAATGCCGTCACCACCACCAAACCATGCATCGCTGTTCTCTCTTTCTCTTCCCCACCAAAGAGTAGATGGACCGACACCACCCATCCATGCTTGGCTCAACCGTGCGTCGTAACCGACAGCGATAAGGAACTCATCAGCTTTCGCTTTCACGTATCCATCAGCACTCCGTATTTCCATTCCTTGTGCAGACGTCGGCGATGCCGGGGAGGCGAGGAGTGCGATAACCGGACCATACAGAGCGCGACAGGGAGGGTAGAAGGCAGGGTGCGGTAGTCGTTGCGCATGGAGCAAGTGCAGGAGGATGTCTAGTGATTTGAGAGTGTATGGGTAGCCTTGTCCTAGGCGGGTTTTCAGGACGTCGAGTATGATGCTGAGGAGGTCGCTATTTGCGTTTCAAGAAGGCAGAGGATAAGGATAGTGGAAGAGGTCCGAGGGAAAGAGGTACGTACGGGTCCGTAGCGTACGTCACGATCGTCTCCAGTTCAATGGGCTCGGCGTACCTGTTCTCGTGATTTGACGCTCGCTCGACGTATGCCTGTGATTGGAAAGGTTAAGAATTGACTGGCTATGGTTGAAGCGGAGATGAGATATGGATAAAGGACGGACCGTGACGATTTCTCTCAGCTGTGTGGCGGTCTGGCCGGTCGAGGGGTCTGTCGTGGGCCCAGCAGCAGAACGAGGTGGCCAGTGATCCCACGGGATGGCCATGTTGCTGTTGAGAAAAACTTATTTCGTGTCTGAAGGAAGCATCAACCTGCCCTCTTCTCGCCATTATCTCTGACTGACCTCTTGAACCGCCGATTGCACTCGGTATCCTATGCATATTCATATCCTCCGTTAATACAACCGCTCCAATCGCAATCGCAATGTAGCCCATCAACCGGGTACGGACTCGTAGGGTGATTCCGAATGTGAACATACGCTCCTACGAACCATATACCGTCCTGTGGCCTCTACACACACCCTCTCGCCGTCCCTCGCTTCTCCGCGTTCGTCCGTGCTGTGCAATAGGCGTGCTCGCTCGCTGTCTGCCACCTTATACGCCTCTGGGCCGAACGGCGCAATCTTGACGACGCGAGGCACCTGGGAGGTGGCAGTGGTGTTTTGTACATCCTGATACGGGGATCAGGGTGTTGGTTGATTGGTTGTTAGGTGGGTAGGAAAAGGCAGAAGGGTTTGAGCCTATTCAGCTTTTGGCTGGGATCCGACTCTGGGCGTGCGATCGAATGGGATCTCGTCCTCGACAGCTTCCTCGACCTATTGGCAGCTTTCAACTGCTTCATCTGTACTTTTCACTCCCGGACCAACGACTTACAACACATCACACCGCCGCCATGTCATCCGAGATCCGCCGCAGACAGCTACCGCAAGAACAGGACGGGCAGGAACCCTCACCTGCTACACCTCAAGCGGTCAGCCCATCGCCTGTGACGCCGCCGCAGTCGCAAACTCAGCCGCAGTCGCAGCAAGCAAACACGCGTGTCTCTTATCGTGCACTGAGAAAACTCCTCCTCCTCCTTCTCGCTATTGGAGCCGTGATTGGATTCCAGCAAGGGTGGTACACCAGAGCAACGAAGCCCAAGGTCATCTATGCGTCCAGGTATGTTCCTTCGTATTTCTCGTGTCCCTCCTCATTTGCCGTCTTTCCCCCGAATTCCGCCTTCCCCATATTTGAACTCTACTGAATTCCTTCCGATCTGTATTCCTTCCATTCAGGTACTCGGACGAATACAAGTTCCGCCCCGCTGCGTCCCCCGTGATCACCGAAACCTTAGCGGACGGCCGAATCAGACTGCGCGGCGCTTCTCCAGCGGGCGTAGGAATCGACGCATCCAGTCTTCCGAAGACCCCCGCACAGCTCGCCAAGGAACGGAAAGTGGCCGAGGAGGAGGCGCTGGAACGTGCAAAGGCGCAGTTGGGGATCAAGAGTCGGAAGAAGAAGGAGCAGAGCAATCTCGAAAAATTGAGGGCGCAGGGAATTCCGATGGCGTATAGGGATGATGCGGCAGGTGGTGGCGGTGGAGTGGGTGAGGCGGGGTATGGAGGGGGTGGTGCTGGACCTGGTGGACTCGGAGGACGTGGGTCCGGTTCTGGTGGACCGCCGCGGCAGGGACAGCAGCCGATGAATGGAATGGGAAAAGGCACGGCGATCAGAGGCGGGAGGAAGGGGATCAAGGTGCAGCCCGGAATGGATGGCCGGGCGCTGTGAGCGACTTAGTGCTAGCTGATGTATGATAGCAGAGCCGTGTAGGCGTAGTCTGCGTGTTAGGGAAGCTGCTAGGGCAAGTCTCCTGCAACTGATGCGGCTATACATAACTATGGCTTTTGGGTGCCACTATACATAAATCCAACACTTTTTGGGCAACTATCCATAATACAGATCTATGAGAAGGCGAGAGATGGCGAGACCGGCAGTAGGAAACAGATGAAGATGGAAAAGAGAAAGATCAAAAGGCACAGTCGTCTCTGTGCGCTCCAAGAGGTTAGCATGCCAAGCATTACTGCGGTGCTTGCTGCCCCCAAAATCGTGAGCGATATTGTGACAACACAGAGGCATTGGCAGGATCGTTTGGATCGAATTGCTCAGCAGACTCTGTAACCATGCGCAAAATGATGAGCGGGCGTATCAATACTTGGCTGCAGTTGGAACAGCTTGTTTACAGTTCTTTGTACTTACGGTAGCCCGTTGGAGCAAAGGAAGGCGATGGAGCAAGGGAAGTGTCGAATGGTTGAGTGTCATGGCCCGACTGATACTCGGGGGAAGATGGTCGCAGGTGTAGATCAGCAAAACATTCTTCCATAGGCTCCTGCTGTGCGCTTTCTGATAGTTGGGGTCCCGACCACCCTGTCAGTGGTGACTGCTGCATTGGTACAGGTAGCGGCGGGTTTTCTCCATATGCAGACGGCGAGGAACCGTATGAGCTGTGAAAAGTGTCGTCCGGGATATGATAACGGCTGTGATATGCCATCGATGGCAATTCTCCAGTAGTCGATCGTCGTGCTGGAAGTTGAGGAGTAGCATCTACGGGAATTCCGCCTGTTGTCAACGTCGATGGCGAGCCCCCTGTAATTGCGCCTCCATCACCCGTTGCGAAAAACGCAGTTGCCGCTTTGCTTAGCTGCCGATTGCTCCACGAGTCGCTTCCCCGGCTTCCCCTTCTTGAAGATCCGCTGGTGGGCTGGGGCTTTTGGACTCTGCGAGGCCGTGAAAGATGTGGGCGAGATGAGGTACTAGCTGATGGGAAGGAATTTGTCCTCGTCGGCGTTAGAGGTGGCGGCATCGTGTTCTGGTTAGCTGGCGATTGTGACATGCACGGAAAGTTGAACTGTTCTTCGTTGTCGATGGCAGTAGAACGTGAACAACCTGATCCAGGGATTGAAATAGCTGACTCATTTCCCATTATTGACGGCATGGACGAAAGGTACGACCTCCCGTCGTTGGAGCCTGATACTGGCGTTTGAAATCCCTGGGGTTGGAGCGGTTTTTCGTTCCTGCTGGTAGATGGAACGCTTTTTCTCCACTGCTCTATAGCATCATCGAAGTCAGGTATGTGCCCAAACGGCCGCATGCTCCATTGTAGTAGATCCCTCCGGTAGATTCCACATATAGTACTTGGATAATAGGATTCCTCCCATTCTGGGAATTTCAAGGCTTCCAACGCGAGAGGGGCCTCGTTATTCATCAGCATCTTCCATTCCAATTGCGTCTTCCCATACACTATGTCAGCAATTGGGTATACGATTTTCCGCGGGACCCTCTCGCACCATTGTTTGAGGCCTGGATTGAAAAACGTTTTCCACTCAAAGGGCCCCACCCAATCGTCGTTTTTCATCAGGTCGTCGAAGAAGAGCGGTGGATTGTGCGTTCGAGTATCCAATTTAGTCCATCCACCTTGTTTAACGAGTCCATAATAGTGAAAATATGTAACATCCCCGGAACCAGAATCATGAATGAATAACCCCGATGTATTTAGACGGACAAATGTGTTTTGAATGTTGGCAGCCATCGGTCCGATGTTCGATTGACTACTTGGTGGAAGGGAAAGAAGCGAAGCGTCTTTCTTTCGTTAGCTTGCAAACAAGGCGCATCGTCTAAAAGTATGACGGAGGTCGATGAACAGTATTTC